GAATCTTATTTGCAAAAATGTAACTAAATACTAAGACATTTCTTGTAATCTTGACAATTGATTATTAACTGCAGTTTTCTATCAGAAATTTACTTGTCGGTTTTGTTATATATTACTGTATCTTATTATCTATACCATTGTCTTTGCTTTAATATACTTTAAACTTGTTTGGGAGATTGTTGATTAAATAAAAATATCACTAGCAACTTTGACCATAAGCCAAAAAATTGGCTTTATGGCTTTATTTAGTATAAAGAAAAAAGTCACTGTGAAAAAGTATTCTATGTTCCAACTTCTAACTGTAGGTCCAAAAGAATTTGAGATTTGTAATACTTTTTAAATTAAAAAAAAAAAAAAAATATCAATAATAGAAAGAATAAGGGCTTTGAAAACAATAATAAATTTATTTAGACATTTGCAAGGAAATCTGAATACAAATCCTTTCAGATTTCTTTACTCTTTTTATCCAGTCTTTCATTTGTTTTGACCACACATAATTTGACATCAGTTTCCTCTGGTAACTTTCCTTATGTTATCATTAAAAGATATTTAGAAAATGCAGTAAAAGAGAAGAAATGGGAAAATTTCTATAGCTCTGCTAACCAGAGACACTACTTGTAATCTTATTGAATTCTGGTGTATAGTTTAAGGTTTACTTGGTTTTAGGCCATATTATATGCACTGTGCCTTTTCTACTTAATATTATTTGATTAGCACTGTTTCCATAATGTTATAATCTTCATAAACCTCTTTAGTATTTGTATAACATTTTATTTAATTTTCTTTACAATGTTCATTTAGTTGTTTCAAATTATAATGATGCTGCAGAATATCTTTCTGACTAATACTTTTCATAAATGAAATTTTTATAATAAATTTTTTTAAATACAGTTAATATTTGGAACCTTTAAAAGAATGATATTTTCTTTTTATAGAGGATGTGTTCTTGCTTGAAACTGATAACCCAAGGACAACACTAGTATATGGCATTTTTACAACATCAAGGTAATTATTAAACAATTATATTTTATAAGTTAAACAATAAAATTTATTAAGCAATAATGATTATTATAAAAGCATTCTTTTCACTTTAATTTTACATAGCATTTAGGATGTCACCTTCTCATTTTATTACTTTTGCTTGATTACCAAAATATATTTAAGCTGAACTAACACTTGCAAAATAGTTTTGTACAGGATATTTATAATGATTATATGATATTTTTCACACACGCAAAAAAAGGAATTATAATGCAGGAATAAAGTATACTGGACATTTTAAGGAAATAATTTGAAGATTCATGATTCGAATAAAACTTTTGGCACTTCTATTAAAATAATTTTTACTTCTGGAGCAATCTAAAATGACAGCTATTGAGAACTTTTCTCTAACTTCTAATCATCTACTGCCTTCATGGATGAATTAAATGTTTTAATGCTTTATATATTAATGGCTTATTTCAAAACAGACGTTTTTTAGCTTTACAGAATATACCATAAAAATGAACCTTTCCATGATGAACTATTTTAACTTTTTATCACAAATTTTGCCATCTACTTTTAAAATTGCATTTAAATTTTTAGAAAATAAGAAAATGAATCTCTTTCTTTTTCCTTTTTTAGCTCTGTTTTTAAAGGATCAGCAGTGTGTGTGTATCACTTATCTGATATTCAGACTGTATTTAATGGGCCCTTTGCGCACAAAGAAGGACCCAATCATCAGCTGGTTTCCTATCAGGGTAGAATTCCGTATCCTCGCCCCGGAACTGTAAGTATCGAGGAAAGTTTTTGGGAGGGGATTGTTATTTTGCTTTTTAAAAATATATAATTTAACAAAAATGAATATCATACTGATGGTTATTAAATACAAACATAGACCTGCTGGTATATTCATTATAATTTTTCAGACCACTGCTTCCCAGATTTGGAAATTTACATATATGTTATAAATGTTATAGCACTCTCTACAATTTTTTTCTAACTTCTATTGCTAATAAAATCTTATTTGGTTTTCAAGGCCACTAGGTATGTTAGACAAAGCAGAGGTATTTTTCCTAATTTCATTGGCATAGAAACCATAGCTTAGAAAGTGTTAACCTTTCAATGGCAACCTAAGAATTTGGATCCTAGTTACTCTTCACAACTCTTCCTTATATTAAGAAATATCATAATGAAGAAATAACCATATGATAATTAATTAGTGATAAATCATGTGGAGATATTTCAATTTTAAGGGATATATTTAGTTAAAAATTTTATGTTGTTATTTTTAAAAGAAAGAAAATGGTATGTGTGAGCAAATAATTGCAATGAAAGTGATGGTACAATTTAAACAAAATATTTATAAACTATGCAGTTTTGAGGCATACAGATATATCTGTGTATTGCAATATTAGTAGTATTAAGGGGTACATTGAAAACTAACTTTTTCAGCTGAAGTTACGGAGGTGCACTGGAAGGTTGGAAATGAAATTTTTCTGGGACAACGATGATCACAGTTCTACTATTTGTTTTCATTTGGCTCATACTAATGCTGCCTTGAATTCGAGAATACTGATTAGTTTCTGTCTCTGTAAAATGTCCTACAGTATACTGGTTGAGAGGAGATGTTATACAATGGCCCATCAAGAGGAATATAATTTTTTTGTATCTTTGCATTCATAGATTATGGGCATAATTATAAAATGGGTGGATATGAGTAATGAAGAAGGATTTTAAGGAAAATAAATCAAAAGATAGTTCTTAAAATAATATTTACTTAAACAAAATGTTTCTCTTTTCTTTTAACTTAAATATAAAATCCCCTTTCCTATATGCTTTCAGATTCATGCCATATAATTTTTACTAATTGTTGATTCATTTTATTTTTGTGTTATTATTAGAGTTTATTCACAATGTATTATTTACTCTCTTATTTTCTCGTCATCTTAAATTATACCTCTGTCAGTTTTTTTAATAGAAAAAATAGTTTGCTAAACCTTTAAAGAACCTATTTATCTATTCAAAAGTAAAAGGGTTCGAGTTTGGTTTCCTGCTAGGAAGCTCAAAGATTGGTCATTAATACATGTTTTATTAGAACAATTAAGTTTTATTTAACATTGGAAGATTATCAGCATTGCTATTTATCTGTGAAAAAATTAAATTTTAATAAGCCATACTTAATCATAACGCAACAAAATCTTCTCATAGAATTCACAATCTCCTTTTAAATAATTTTTCTTTGATGCTATAGCTCAACAGAAGATGAAAAAGAAATTTCATTATTTTGTGAAACACAAGAAAAATAAGTCAACAGATATATCTATCTTTGGGTACCTCAATCTAGAGTATATTAGATAAAAAGCTATTTTTAATTACATAAGAGAATGGGAAGTAAGAGGGGCAATTGAGAAACTTTTAAATTCCATCGTAACTCAAAAGCTCTCATTGTTTCATGTAGTGTATTTCATGCATTTCAAGATGACTCACTAATACTATATTGAGAATTACTTGATATTTGAAGTTGACCAAGTCATTGCTTCATCTTAACACAACAAAAATTAAGACGTGGTTGTGATTGTGTATACTTCCATCAATTATTCTTTTGAACAATATGGGATTTAGTACAGGAGCAATTGATTTGTAAACTCAGCAAAATTCCATTTACCCTCCAAAAATACCTTAGGACAAACTCCTCAGATAAACCAAGAAAATGAATAAAAGAGAGCCACACTGACTGAATCAGGGTTCAGGGCCTCAGAACCTACATGAGTGTGTTCTGGAGCCAGTTTATACCCAACTCACAGGAGCAGATTGTGCGCACCTTGTCTCAAGTAAGAACATGACAGTGATAACTTGAAATCAACGTAGTCAGAGTATTTACACTATGGAAATTGACACATATTACAAATCAGCGATTTTTGCACCTGAAGAAAAGCCACCCTTGCCCCAACGCTCATCAGACTCTTTATAAATAACAACTTAAAAGGACTCGGAATCGCAGAGAAAGAACTACTCAAGTTAAATAACAATTATAACAATTATTCTACATACATTGTAGGAATAGATAAACCCCTTTCAGTAAAATAAAATGAACTAATGCTAAACTAGAAAATTCTAACAGTCTCTCTTTTCTCTGTTTTCAAGCTCCTAAGAATAAGCATTTTCTTTTCTGTTCTAAAGCAATGTGGGCTAAGCCAGGGCTTGGTGACACACATCTGGAGCTGACTCTGTGAAAAAGGGAGTAGTCGGCACTTGAGACATATTTCTATAATGTGGTTTCTTACATCTGGTACTGAGAAGAGAACAGCTCCTTTAAATTTAAAAAAAAAAAATGTCAGATGAATGATCTTTAAGGAATAAAAGAGTCAGGGTGGAGAAATGACCTCTGGAACTTCTCCCAGAAAAGCATTCCTCCCTGAAGATTTGGTCTCTCCACCCTTCACTGAGCAACATGCCATGAAGTCAGCTCTCTGACTCAGAGTGGCCAATGTCTGTCTCTTCCCTGGACTTCCAGAGTTTAATATCCCACTCACGTAGCCAAAAGACCTATAGCCAAGTGACTGAAAGCATTCCCTCTCCTCTAGGGTTAAGAATGTTGCCTCTGAAGTTGCCAATAAAGGATCAACTGTGATTGCTATACTTTATTTCCCAGTAGTCCAGTTGCCAGGTCAACCTCATAAATATATGACAGGATTCTTAAAGAAATGACACTGGCAGAAATTGTATACTTTTGTTCTAATGTTCCCTGTAGGTGCTTCTTTTAAAGCAGGGTTGATAGCCGTGTTTGAAAACCGCCCCAACCAGCAAGCCGAAGTCAGTAGGAAGAAGACTGCCAATTGTGTCATAATGTTTCTCCATAAGTAATTCAAGTTTGTGGAAGAAATAAGACACCTTTGGTATGTTGCAAAGGGCAGCCAAAGACTGCAGATTCTCTCTGCAACTGAGCTAATATATTACATTATTCTGCTGCAACATGTATAAAGTTTTTGCAGAAGATTGCATTTGCATATACGGTCATGTTAAAGCAGAACCTAATCAAAGTTCAGTTTTAACATCTGTTTAGAAGTGGAGCACAACCATCTGCTTTAATCACTATGTTTTGAACAGGTCTGGTACCTGATATGGCAAAAGGACACAGAAAATTCATACCCTGAGTAGTGTTGGCAAGACAAAGACAAGTTGATTGCTGGCACTTTTGTTGATTACATACATCTTCTTGTTCTTACATTAGAGGTATTTCTATTTCTCATATGTGTTTGGAAACATTCAATTAGTAAATTTTACAATAATATTGAACACATAAGGAATATAGACATGAAAAGTCAAATTATATAGTTTTATATCATTATTTAAAACACGTGAGTAAAATAGACGATGGAATAGACAAAATGTAGGCTGGAGGACAGGTTGTGGGTGAGCCTCATTTGGGAAGACATATAAAAAGTATGAGATTGAGCTGGCCTTGAAACACAGTTGGATGTAGATTAGTTGGATAGGTAAGGAAGGACGTTTCAGGCAAAGGTTACAGCTTACTTTCCAAGACAAAGGTAAAAATGAATAAGTGAGTCCTAGAAGCTCTGCATTTGCTACCAGGACTGAAGGAGAGGATACTTGTAGGTAGTGAAAGATAAACGTAAGGAAGATGAGGGCCAGCTTGTGCCTAAGTATAAGCCTTTAAGTATGTAATTGTTTGTGTTTTAAATAAATGCCTAGATGACCAAGGATCTAAACATAAGATCAGTTTCCTCAAAATACAAGTTTCGCAGACCAATGCTAGCAATTAGTACAGATTCTGGAATGCCTCTAAGTCCATTTAGTTATCCCTATACCATTCATCTTTCAAGTGTTACCGTCAAGCTCCCCTTTATTGTGCTAGTTACTTCTTTTCTGACTAGTTTTGGATTTATTTCCTGCTGCGTTCAGCCTTGCCTACTCAGCCTCTTTCCTCCTCTTTGTGTTCTATGATACAGCAATGCCCCAGGAATTACAGTTCTCTAAATACTCCAAACTTTGTTTACACATCTCTAAACTACTTCAGTGACCTTGTCAGCCTCAAGTTTTCTACTTTCCTAAATTCATTTAAAAAATATTGGTTCTTAAACATATATGGCAATTGATTATGAACCAAGCAGTTATTTATTTTATATTTTTCTTAAATTATTATTATATGTCTTGTTATTTTGCTTGGAATGTGTCCAGCTGTCTAACCAGAAGACTTGTGGCTAGAAGACAATGGTAACTTCTTGTTCTTATGTTTTCTACTGGGCACATCAAAATGCTTTTTGAGTAAAAGCTGTCCAAAGATTGGAATATGGATTAAGATTTGAATATGTTAACGCTGAAAACTATTATAATGGATGTGAGGATTAGGAGAACATTTAGGAGCATAAGAGGATAACAGATGCCCAAGAATACCTGAAAATAGGAACAAAATTAGGTAAGGGCAACAACTGCTGACACTTCCTTAACATGGCATTCTTATTGTTCACTGCATTTCACCTAACACTCAAGTAATCAAAAACACTTAAAATGCCTTAGTTAGGAGTGCTTATCACTACTTGATAAACAGAAAGCTAGAACTGCAGAAAAACAAACACTTAAAGAAAAAGTTTAACCAAAATTACTCAGCGACTGTGGAGTAAAATTATCTTTCTGAAGAATGAGACACCAGACTAATTAATGGACGAAGGCTTTATTTTATGGTAGCACATGTTATATCATTGTTAGATTCGAATACAAAGCTTTCACATATCAGAAGGTTAGGGATAAGTTAGTTACATCTTATTTGTACTTGGCAATGTTACGCAGAACAAATTCTCAAGTCTAGATAGTCTGCAAAGGGTAATCAGTTCTTGTTCTTTTCACTATCATTGTATTTTGTTCTGTGTCTTAGCTGCACAGTTTACACCATGAATCAATGGAAAAAATCATTATTGTCACAAAATATTATTTTGTAATTTTGAAAATAAACGCATACTAAGCAAGAAATTCATTGTGAATAGTGTAAACAAAAGTTCCAAACGGGGGGGCATTTAAATTAATATAAAATATAACTGGTTTGCATTGATTTGTTTGGATACCTATTTTTTTTTGAGCAATTGCAACATAATTTTTTATCTGAATTTTAATTATCGTTAAGTAAAACCCATAAATAAGACATTAATTGAGTTTATCACATGTGAAAATAATTGTTAACTCGAAATTATATAAATCGTAATATGTACTAACTTTGGATCTCCCTGGAACTTACAAATGAGAATGCTTGCAAATATTTAAAGAGACATCTCAGCTTAGCAAACCATAATTAGTGGTGTTTTATGAAGGCCTGGAATTATTTAAATTACCCATACATTTGTTCTTTCCATGTTTTCATTCGGTGAGAAGTGTATTTCCCTTTTTCCACTTTGTATGAAGAATGAGGGTAGAAAACACCCATAATTCTCTACCTTTCAGAAGTATGAAACACATCCATCAGTTTAGTTCTTTGTCCTCATTTGGCCTTCATTGTGGGCAATTTTTAAATGTGTATTTAAATATAACGCTTTTTTCTAGAAGAAAAACATATGAGCCCTAAATGAAAGTCTCGTTAATGAGATAACAAATGAAAGGCTTAGTTTTATTGTTTGTCTCATTATCTCTTTTCTGTGAAGTCATTTAATTGTGTCTTTCTACAAAAACAGAAGTATATTTACTGGTCCTGTAAAAAGTTCTAGTAATGTTAACTGGTCAAAGTTAGTCTAAAAATTGCATTCAGCATGATTCAGTCTAAATGAATGTGCTGAGACTCATTTGCAAATGCGAGTCTGCCTGGCATACTTGCCAGGGGGCACTGATGTTTTGGGATAGCTGTTGCAAGGATTTAACCCAGAAGTTGCCAGGTTTTATTTGGTTCCTAATTTTTTTTTTTTTTCCATTGAGTCAACATTAAAATTTTGGCAGATTTTACATAAAATTTCACATTTCTATTTTCTGTTGAAATCTTGCTACGCTAGGCTTATATTTCTGCATAGGAACAATCAGCTAGAAATAAGTGTTCATTGCCACCTTTGGATAAGGCATAACTTTCCAGTTTGCTATTGTCCTCATTACATGTTACTGTTTACCACAGATGCTGTGCCCATTGGTATTGGTCAGGAAGCTTGCTTCATTACTTCCCTTTTACCTTGTACCTCTTTAAAGAGGATACATGAAAACTAAAACATGAGTGCTTTTGTTTCAAGAAAAATTCAACCATGTATATTTTTTCCTAAAAGTAGAGATATTGACAGGTGTTTAATAGGATTAGACAAATAATGTTTGTATGTGTTAAAAGATTATACCCAACAGCTTTACTCATATCATTTAACACTTGCATCCTATTACTGAGTTTGAGCTCCAGGCTACTGCAGTTCCTAGCCTACCCTCGAGTTTGGCCCGAAGTGCCCTATGAATGGAATCTTCTCCTCAGAAGCCCTTGTCACGCTCCCCTTCCGGAACTGCTGAGGCTGTCCAGCAGTTCTTTTCCAGATCTCAGTAATGTTTTCTATCTGCCACCTTTGAACTTGATGCTCTGCATCTTTTCTCTCTTGGCCAGAATAGAGACCCCTGTTTCATACAGCCCCCGCAGCAAAATTGGATGGCAGATATAATAGAGTGATTTACTCATTAAACTACTCTTCATCACATATCTACTATTTGTCAGCTTTGTTGTAAGTCTGAGGGTGAAACAATGAATAAAATATACCTAGTTAAGATCAGTACACAGCTTACATTCCAGAAGGAGAAACAGACAATAAAAATACAAGCAGCTAATATAAATAGGACTGTGAAGCAAAAAAAAGCCGGCTAAGGCGATAATGGAGATGGAGATGGGGATAGTGGAAATGAGCATGTGACTACACCTTTAAAGAAGAAACTTTTCAATTGAGAAATGAATAAAGTAACAGAGGAAACATAAAATTGTCTGGAGAAGAGTATTTCACACCGGGAAGAGCAAGTGTCAAGATCCTGGAGCAGGAGCGTACTTGAGGCTCAGAAAGACCAAGAACTACTGTGGGAGGGGTAGATGTAGGCCATTCATACAGGAGCTTGCAGGACATGCTAAACTATTGGGTTTATATTATAAGATTAATGGAAGTCACTGGGGTCTTTTCTGTAGGGGGATTGTCAAGTCTGATTTACCACATCCAATACAAGCTCCAGCATTAGAGATCTCTCTTTTGAAAGAAGGGATCAGATGGAATAAAACTCTTGCACATTAGAGTTCTGATTGAATTTGATAACGATAGTCTAAATTTATTTAGCCAATAGCAGCAGTATATTATAGCCATATGATTTTTTTTTTTTCTAACAAGACTATGCCTGGCACAGAATAAAAAATGGAAAAGTAATGGATGAGAAAGGTGAAAAATTACATTATATGCAAAATGGTGTCAGCTGCTCTCTGAAGACAAATAGGATAAGTGAACTTAGCCCCATTCAAATGACCAGATTATACACATTGTATATTCAGTTTCTACAGATAGTTCTGTATAGCATTATATATATTTATGCTGCTTTCTCTTTGATGAGCTGAGCGTAAATGCCCTTAAAACTTGAACTTCTGAGTATTTTGAAAAATAAATGACTTTTGTTCATTACTAAAACTAAGTAACTATTTTATTAATTTTTTTAAAAAATAATTTTTTAGTGCCCAGGAGGAGCATTTACACCTAATATGCGAACAACCAAGGAGTTCCCAGATGACGTTGTTACTTTTATTCGGAATCATCCTCTCATGTACAATTCCATCTACCCAATCCACAGAAGGCCTTTGATTGTTCGTATAGGCACTGACTATAAGTACACAAAGATAGCTGTGGATCGAGTGCATGCTGCTGATGGTAGATACCACGTCCTGTTTCTCGGAACAGGTAAGTATTTGAGCTCAAAGTATACTTTAATGTGTAGTAAAAAAGTATAATAAGTAAGGGCCACAATATTAGAACCAAAAACCCCCCGTCTTTACTTCTATCTGATCATCAGTTGAGGTAGTTTGTATCTCTATGCCTCAGTTTCCACATCTGCAAATTGAATTTAATAAAATAAAATAAAAGGGTTTTTATGAGGAAAAAAAAAGAATTAATATATGTAAAGCACCTAGAATAGTTCCTGTCACATATTATAGTGAAATGTAATAAAAATGGCCTAAATGAAGAGATGGTAAGAAATTTTAAGCATGGGTAAGTGATTCTCTCAACTAAAACAAATTCTGTGACGTTTTTATAAATACGTGGAATCATTTTCCAGTGATAATGATAGATTTGTTCTAGATAATATTTGAACATTCATTTAATAACTCAAATACAGGTAGTTTTAAAAAAACTATTAATGGGACTATTTTAATACATCTACAAATTCTAGTTTGTCAATTTACTTTAATAGACAAGTTGAGTGAGAATACTCTTACTTATAGACCTACATGATGCCTGTGGCAGTGGTTCTCAAAGTGTGGTTCCCAGACCAGACTAGCAAAATCAACATCACCCAACAACTTGTTAGAAATGCAAATTCTTGGGCTTGAACTCTAGAGATGAGACCCAGCTACCTGTGTTTTAACAGGCCATCCAGGTAATTCTGATACACACTAAAGTTTGAGAACCACTACTCAAGAGAAAGAAACTCTAGTTTGTCTGCCAGGGAATAATGAATAAAATCTTTCAAAGATTCCTTACTACCTTTCAGGCAGAGATAAAATCTCTTAACTTGTCTTATCATAATATTAGAACTACTCAATGAAATTAGGTAGTGTCTCTACCACTTTAAGAAATAGATATAAAATATGTTTGTAAACCTCGTTATAAAATGCATAGTGGTAGAATATGTATTCTGTCCGAAGAATAAATTACATTCAGACTTTAATCAATTTAAAATGTGGATATATTTTCTTGGCTAAATATAATTTTCAAAGTGTACTTTTCTTATAAAGTTCTTATTTTATCCTTGTTTATTCTTATACTTAAAACTCCAAATCTGAATCGTTCACGCTTATATAATTTTAACTTATATTGGTCTGAGGTTGAGAATCTTCTGACCTGTATTATTTGGCATCCTCTACCACACTTGAACATATCTGTGTTTTCACTAGTCCTCTCTTTATTTGCTCCGTACCTGAGAAATAACCTTTCCTTCCCAGGCTAACCATGTCCCACTCTGCTCTCAAATTTATCCCCTCCTGCCATCCCCAAAACCTTTCTTTATCGATTATATTCTTACTCACTTTTTTAGTTCATTTTATTCTTCAGTTGATCCTTAGTTTTGAAACCTTAGGCCAGGATAGGAAACTAGACCTAACCTTCACCCATTGCTACCTCTGTTGTAATGCTGATTTTGCTAAGGTCTTCAGTGTTTCCACAATAAGAAGATCCAATGGCTTTTAACCACTGAAAAGCTTCCATCTCCTCTTTGCATCATTTGACATTGTAGAATCTCTTTTCACCTGTTGCTTCAGCCACAAGCCACATAAGTCCCCTTTTCCTTAGCAATCTTTCTCAATTTCCTTCATTAATTTGGTTTCCTTTTGCCCATGAGTATGAGTCTTCCTTCAGATTCTGTCCATGGTCCTTTTCTTTTTACATGTTCTTTGGCCATCTCATTCATTCATTTGGTTTTCATTATCTATTCTGTGTAAACAAATCCCAAATGTATATCTTTGGTCATTGCCATTTCCTGAGCTCACTCTTTGTGTTTACAACTTACTGTTAGATAACACGAACTGTATGGTCCATTAACATTTTGGACATCATGCTTCAAACTCAGTTTATTACTTTTAAGACTTTAACCAATGCTTAATCCAGTCTTCCATATTTGTATTCTTATCGCACATTCCTCTCAAGTTTCTATTTCTCCTTGGTATATACTTTCTCTTATCACAGGACCTGGTAAGTTGAATAAATATTTGTCAGGATGAATTGAAAATAATAACTCAGCCCATTGCTACTATTCATGTAATGAAATGAATTCATAATTGATTTTGAAAGCTAATACCCATTTGTATTTAATCTGTATTCTCCCAAGATGTGGCCCCTAAATCATTGCAAAGAGTTGCTTTTAGTCTAGCTCACATCATTCAATGTGGAGTTTGCATTGAAAAGAAAAATGTTTTTTTCGTGAAGTGAAGTAATAATTGTGGAGTCACATCTCTCCCTAATGTCTCATGTTACTCAGCAAAAATGACTGTTTTCTTTCCCTTTCGAAACCTGTCTTAAAAGTGGACTCTAATGCCACAATTGAGCTGTTTTTTTTTTCCATAAAACTCTACATGAAATATGTAAATTCCATGAATGGAATTTTCAAGTCTTTATAAACTGTGCAGCAGTGTTTATTCAGATAGAAAGCAGTAAAAAGCATCCTTTATACAAGTCTGGCTTTTCTTACCACATAAGTTTCTGGCATCTTTGCACATATTTTTTTATGTTGGTATTTAAACATTTGTATCATTTTGAAAAACAGTATTTAAGCTTATGTTTTTAATTATAGTGGGAAGCTTCCCTAATTATTACTTACAAAGCCACATGAGTCTCTTAAAGACTCTATTCTAATAGGAAAGTACATGTTATGACAATGCTTCTGCCAACACCATCTTTCTGAAGAAATAGTAATCGATTTAATCACTGAAACTTTTCTTCATGGTCATATCAGACCACACTATAATTTAAAAACAGTGATTTCAATTTACCTGAACTCTAACAACCGGTATATCAGTATAAAATATTTACTGCCCAAGTAGTTTCTGGATTGCTGGTGAGATTGCTTCAAAAGAAAATTCTCAGTGCTTGTTTACTGCTAAAAGTAAATAAAATACTTTTCTGAAATGGAACTTGGGAGAACTATAGGTCGCTGTTTCCAGGATTTCTTAGCTTTGTGTATCTAAATGTCTTAGGAAGGATGTAACATTTCTTGAGTATTGCTAAATCCCCAAGTAATAAAAGAACACTTCAGCTGTTATAAATAAATAATGATGCTCCAATTATTGCCACAATAAGGCAAGCTTCTCTCATGGCTTCCCTTTTCTCTGTACCATAGTGGAAAATTCAGAGAATTCAATGAAGACATTAATTGTCAAATAAGATGCTATAAAAATAAATAAATAAAAATAAAAAACTTCTGCAGCAGTTAATAGGAATGCAAATACGTTATTGTGTACCTGCATTCACTTTGAATATTGTGAATGATTTTGTAGCTACCAGATACTCCAAGGTAGTTGTGTGGGCTCGGTGCCTAGTAACAGTTAAAATTAGCCTGTTGCAATTTACTACTGGTTTGAGAGGCTGATAATCTGGCCTTCTACTCTCATGGGCCTGCCTCATTATATTTTGTGTGCTGTCAGATGCCAAGATAGAGTGATAGATGATGATTAGATTAGATTAGATTAGATTAGATATAGAATAATAGAAATGAAAGGTGGGAAGGAGAGAGGGAGGGAGGGAGGAAGGAAGGAAGGAAGGAAGGAAGGAAGGAAGGAAGGAAGGAAGGAAGG